GGTGTGGGGCTGTGGGGCCAGATGTGCTGGGCTGGTGTGGGCTGCAGGTGGCAGGAGCCCTGGGGACGGTGTCCCAGCCTGACCCTGCAGTGTCATTGCCCCCAGAGCCTACCTGGAGGTGCACCAGCTGGAACTGGAGAAGCTCAGCACCCAGATCCGTGAGTCCAAGAGGAATTCACGCCTGGTGAGTGCTGCTGGGAAAAGCCTTACGGGGAGCAGTGCTTCGGACAGATGGAGGGGGTTGTGGGCAGGGCTGGGGCAGCTCGTGGTTCATCTCTGTCCTGGGGCAGAGCCTGCTTCTGTGGGGACATCAGGGGCCAGCGCGGGCGCTGGTGTGGGGCTGCACGGGGCTCCTGTCTGACTGTCATGCACTCTCCAGCCCTGGCTGGGTGCTGCATGTCCCCGCCGACATGCTATGGGTGGTGGGTGTGCGATGTGCTGGGTCTCCTCGGGTGGGCAGAGCTGGCTCTGTGCTGCATCTTATCCCTCTCCTCTCTCCTCCAGGGCTTTCTCTACGATCTGGATAAGGTAAGCAGGAGCTGTGCCCCATCCCCTCCTTTTGCCTCCCCCATCCTCGCACCTGGGATGTGCTACTGCTGGCCCCTTCTCTGCTTGCACTGCCCCACATCCCCTGTGGGGTGGCACTGGGGCAGGGGATGAAGCAGAGACAGGCAGGGCCTCGTAGCCTGCTTCTTGCAAACAAAGCTGTGGCTGGGGAGTGCTGAGTCTGGGGTAGCTCGCAGGCTGGGAGAACAGACCCTCCAGCGCAGGGGAGGCGGGGAGATGCTGTGGCACATGGGTGCAAGCGCAGCCTCCGCTCTGCTCACTGCCAGCTGCCGCCCTGCACCTACAGGCAGGGCTGGTCACCAGGATCTGTCCCAGCCACAGCACGGGCAGGCAGCAGGGAGCATCTTGACCTGCGGCTCCTCTCCGGAGGGGTCGGGCTGCTGCTCATGCCATCTCCTCTGCTTTTCCAGCAAGTGAAGTCGATCGAGCGCTTCCTGCGTCGCCTGGAGTTTCACGCTAGCAAGGTGAGAGCTGGGGCCTGGGGTCACCTTGGGGTGGTCCCAATCTGTGCTGTCCCTTGCCCTGCCCTTCACCACAGCTTGGGCCTCTCCTTGCAGATAGATGAGCTCTACGAGGCTTATTGCATCCAGCGGCGACTCCGCGATGGTGCCCACAACATGGTCAAAGCGTACAGCACGGGCTCGCCGGGCAGCCGGGAGGCCCGCGAGAGCCTGGCTGAGGCCAGCAAGGGCTACAAGGAGTACACGGAGGTGAGGCAGCCAGCTGGGGCAGGCTGGCAGGGTGCTGGGTCCTATGGGTGGCTGCTGATGGGTGCTGTCTGCCCCTCTGTCCCCAGAACATGTGCTTGTTGGAGAATGAGCTGGAGAGCCAGCTGGGCGAGTTCCATGTCCGGATGAAAGGTAACGCATCCCACTCCATCCCGGGCCGCCTGCCTGCCTGCCTGCCTGCCTGCTGCCCCTGACTCGCCTCTGCCTACTCTTGCAGGACTGGCAGGCTTTGCCCGGCTCTGTGCTGGTGACCAGTATGAGGTTGGTGACACCATAAGGTTTGGGATCTGCTCTTCTGCCCTGTGGGTGTCCAGGGGGTGTAGGTGGGCGCTGGAGTGGAGGGCATATTGCAGGGCGGTGGTGGGATGGCATGGGGGTCCCTGGCTGTGCACGGGGACGCACAGAGAGCATCCACTCCCTGGTGTTGTATCTCCCCTATTCCCACACCTCTGCATTCCCAGATCTTCATGAAGTACGGGCGGCAGCGGTGGAAGCTACGGGGCCGCATCGAGGTGAACAGCAAGCAGGTGTGGGACAGCGAGGAAATGGTTTTCTTGCCCCTTGTCACCGAGTTCCTCTCCATCAAGGTACAGTGCAGAAGGGGACAGGGATGGTGTGGGCCAGCTGGCACCCAGCATCCTGGCAGGGCTATCTGGTGGTGGTGGCATCCTGGCACACAGCAAGGATGTCCACAGCCTCCTGGCACACAGCATGGATGCACACAGCATCCATGAAGTCCATGGCTTCATCTTATCGTCTCTTTCCTCTCCTTCCCCAGGTGACAGAGCTAAAGAGCCTGGCCAACCATGTTGTGGTGGGCAACGTGTCCTGCGAGACCAAGGACCTCTTTGCGGCTCTGCCCCAGGTAGTGGCTGTGGATATCAATGACCTGGGCACCCTCAAACTGAGCCTGGAGGTGACCTGGAAGTGAGTATCTCAGCAGGCATTGCTGGTAGTGCATGGCAGGGCTGGGGATGCCACAGCATGGCAAGAGCTGGCCTGCCCTGGGCTCTCTCCCATCCCAAAACTGGACTGCAAGTATGGAAAACCAGAGCTGCACTGGATGGGGTCCCAGGGTTGAGCAGGGTTGTGACCCCCCCGGGGCTGGCACACACCCCTCACCTCCCTGCTCTCCTCCCCAGCCCCTTTGACAAGGATGACCAGCCCTCAGCAGCCAGCACTGTCAACAAGGCCTCCACGGTGAACAAGAGGTTCTCCACCTACAACCAGAGCCCGCCTGACACGCCGTCCCTGCGGGAACAGGCTTTCTATGTAAGTGTGGTGCTGGGCAGGGCTGCTTGGGTGAGGGGTTCATGCCCAGGCTACAGCCCAGAGGGTGGCATGGCGTGGGGATAGGTGTGGGCAGCTCCTCTCCAGCCATATGGCCATGGCTTCCTGGTACTGGCACTGCTGCTCCCACACTCACAGCTCCTCTTCTCTCTGCCCAAGAGCCCGGGGCGGGCAGCCGACAAGCACGGTTGGTCCTTGCTGGACATCTTTCGGGAGACACTCTTCGAGAAGCTGTCTCAGAGCTGCTCCTGTGGCGACGTCTCCTCGGCCGAGCTCGGGAGATGCCCGCAGCAGGGCCGCGTAAGTGCGAGGGCTGGAGCTGGCCAGTAGCTTAGCCCAGTGGCGTGGCCATCCCGCAGTAGCCGTAGCCGCTCCTTGCCTCCTACTCACTACCCCTCGCTGATGCCCAGAGGCTGGGGTCTGGCTGGCCCTGGGGAGACAGTCCTCAAGCTAGGGGAGCTGCACGGGCTAGCTCCACTCCTCTGTCGTCACGCTCTTGTGCGAGAGCCAGGCACTAGTGAGCAGAAGGCTTGTCTGTGTCCCCGTGCTGGTGGCGTTGGTGTGCTGTGCTGTGGAGTGGGTGTGGTGCTGGTGCGATGGTGCTGGCGCCAGTGTGACAGTGCTGGCGTGGCACTGGCACGATGCTGTCATGGTGCTGGTGTGACGCTAACACGGCACTGGCGTCGCACGGGCTCAGTGATGGCAAAGCACCGGCATGACGTTGGTGTGGTGGATGGTGCTGCTCCACAATCATCTGGTGCTATTGCCATGGTGGGTGATGTCCCCGTCCCTGTGTGTCACACCCCGTCATGGCTGTGGTGGAGCTGCCGGCTGGGGTGGGGGGGCCCCG